TGGAGGGAGACTGCTATCTCTAGAAGATTGAAGAAGGCAAGGTGTGGCTTGTACACAGTGGAATGGAGAAGGGCTGGGTAAGAGAACTGAAAAGTCACTGAAATGATGCTTTGCATCTTAATCTAACGGGGCTCTCTCTCTCCTTTGCCTGGTGTTGCGCAAAGATGCCACCCAATCTAAAAAAGAAAGTTTACCTACAATGCTGTTTGATGCAAGTTTCTTTTGAGGGAGAGATGATTATGTTAAATGCCTACTAAGAACTAGACATAATGCACGTTTTTCTCATTTAAAACTCATTAGACCATGACGTGACCATCAATAGAGAAATAAATAAGCCAAATGTGGTACATATATACCATGCAATACTATGCAACCATAAATAACAACGATGAGTACAGAAAACATAACACGGATGAACCTGGAGGACATGGTGCTTGGGAAATAAGTCTATTGTTTAAGGACACCTATTATATGATCTATCTTTTATAAGAAGAAAAGAATGGGTATATAGAAAGAGGTTAATATTCATTACTAGTTACTAGGTTGAGGTGAGAGGTGGTTATGGTAGTTACATAATCTCCTGTCAACTTGTGAAGGGGTGGAGTCTAGCCTATCAATCAGGCCATAGCCAATGAGGCCTCTGTATGGGCATGACCTTCTCCTGAGGATTCTGGGAGCTCCTGTATTCCTCCTTAGGGTCAGGACACATAGACTTTCTGCTTCATCTTCCTTCTGACAAGACACATGGAGTTACGCTAGAGTCCTGGAGCTGGAGGAGCCACGTGGCAACTCCTGCTGGCGCTGAGATGCTTCTACCACCACTGGATCCACAAGACTCCACCCACTGGCCTGTGATCTTTCTTCCTGCATTCGGCATCATTGCATGTGTTGTGTGAGTCTGAAGAAGAATTTATAGACTGGTAACAGACATATGGACTAATATTGGATTTATAGACTTAACCTGGACTGGGCTAGGGTATTTTCTTAATGTTCTTTGATAAAAAGATCTCTCCTACACAATATGAGTGTCTATGAATTTGTTTCTCTAGTCAACCCAGACTAACACAGTGAGTGAGGAGAAGATGCTCTATATTGTAGGCATGTTTTTGGTGATGGAGAAAGTGGCACCAAATGTTAGTTCGGTGAACACAGCATGACCCAAGTCAATAACGTCACAGAAAAACACTCAAGAGAAACAGATGCCAGTACTAAATAAGTTAATATACATAAGATAGCAAGAACTCTTACAAAGACCAAAAATGGAGTCTAGAAACATACAGGTGGGTGTAAGAATGTAGGAGAAACAAATCTGTCTTGGAAGAAGTCTGGCCTGTGTGCTCTTTAGAGGCAGGGACGACAGGACTTTACCTTACACTCTTTGGGCACGTCAGAAGAGCCCAGCTCTGGAGAAGGACACCCAGTTTGTTATAGCAGAGGGGCAGAAAACGGAGGAGGCCCTCCATAAGACGGTGTGACACAGCAGTTGCACCCAGGGGTCCCAACACAGAGCAGTTGCGAGGGCGGCGCAGGCCCAGGCAGTGCTTCATTCGGCTGTGCGTCAGCTCCCTATAGGTTGGATGCAAGTTTTATTCGAGGGAGAGATTATGTTAAATGGCCACTAATAACTAGTCACATTTCATGTTTTGCTCATTTAAAACTCATTAGAACATTGTTTACAAGCCCTGGGGATGTAATGGATTGTGCACTGGGCTTCTGCTATCTGTAAGGTCAGTGGTTCAAACTCACTAGTCACTGTGTGGGACAAAGATGAGGCTGTTTGTTCCTGTAAATATTTACAGTCTTGGAAACCTTAAGGAACAGTTTTATTCTGTCATATAGGGTTGCTATGAGTCAGAGTTAACTCAATTAACACACACACACACACACACACACACACACACACACACACACACATATATATTGCTTTAAAGACTTTGTGAGCTAGATAGAAATTTTACCACTTCATAAAGCTCTTTTCCTTACTCGGATTCATTCAATGAATATTCATTATATATCTATGTAATGCATAGAGGTTCTGAAAAGATTTCATAACAGTGTGTAACAAATAAGCCCTGATTTATGACCGATGGGGACTGGTTTTGCCACAATGACAATGCACCTGCTCACGCAGCCGTCTCAGTGCACCAGTTTTTGGCAAAAAACAACATGCCTTTCTTGCCCCCCATACCTTACTAACCTGACCTCGCTTCATGAGAATGAAGAAGGACCTGAAAGGACAGAGATATGATGACATAGAAGAGGTGAAGGAAAAACGAAGGAGGTGCTGTCAGCCATCCAAACAGATGAGTTTGAAAAATCTTTCCAGGAATGGAATCGCAGATTTGACAAATGTATTTAGTGTAACACAGAGTTCTTTGAAAGTGATATGGTTGCTTTGTAAAAAATTTAAATACATAGCTTTGAAAAAAAATTAGTTATTTGGGAGAGTACCCCCTTGCACATATACATACACGTGTCATTGGCTTTACTTCTCTAGAGAATCCGAGTTGCCTTCTATGCACATGAAAGTTGGACAGTGAATAAGGAAAATCAAAGAAGAATCGATTTGTCTAAATTATGGTGCTGGAGAAAAAAAATGAAAGTGTCATGGACTGCAGAAAGGACAAGCAAATCTGTACCGAAATAAGTATGGTCAGAGTGCTCCTTAGAGGCAAAGATGGCAAGACTTTGTCAAGAAATACGAATTCCTAGAAGCGCTTCATGTTTGAGAAAGTAGAGAGGCAGCCAAAAAGAGAAAGACCATCAATGAAGTGGGCTGTGGCAGTGGGCTTGAGCACGGGGTCAATTGTGAGGACGACACAGGACTGGGCATAGGGCCACTATGGGTCAGAACCTACTCAATGGTACCTAACAACAACAACAACAACAACAACAACAACAACAGCAGAGCACCCAACCTTACCCAGTCTCTAATAAGATGATGTCCAAGCAAGCACCTAAAGAAATCGAGGGACCCGCAGCTTATCGAGAAGAACATTTCAGGCAGAGGGAATGGCTGGTGGGAAGGCTGAAGGGCAGAGATGCTACAAGATGAAATCAGAGCACGAGAGAGAGCACTGCATTAAATCATGTACAGCTTTCTGGGGACCATTCCGTGCAGGACATTTGGCTTTCGCTTGGAAGGAGGTGGGAAGGCTTTGGAGAGTTCAGAGTAGAGGGGTGACATGACTTAGGTGTTGAGAGGATTACTCTGGCTACAGAATAGACTAAGAGTGGGCCAAAGAAGACTCTCTGGGGCCAGTATGGAGGCTGTTGCGGTCGTCCAGCTGAGTGATAACTATTTCTAAGTCTAGGGTATTAGGAGTGGACATTTGAGAGGTGGTTGAATTTTTTCTTCCCTAGCAGAGCTGACAGGATTTGCTTATGGCTTAGACGTGAAGAGAAGTCAATGGGGACTCTGAGCACTTTGCAACTGGACAAATGGAGCTGTCATTTATTAAGTTGGGAAATACTGGTGGCAGAACACGTTTTGACAATGGAAGTACAAATCAGTTTTGTATGAAATGTAAGTTTGACATGTCAATTAGACGTCCACATGTAGATTTTTGCCTAGGCTAGTAGATACATGCATCTGGTGCTCAGGAGGAAGGAGTGTCTTCAAATTCAACTTTGGGGATTCTGAGCATTTGTAGGTCTTTAAACCCAATGGACTGAATGACAATGCTGGCCCGAGCAAAGATGGAGAAGTGGAAACGCCTGTGAAATGAGGCCCCGGGGCAGTCCATGATTTAGAAATAAGGAAAACCAACTGATCAGAAAAAGATACCCGCAAGGCGTAGATAAAAAGGGAAGCTCAAGAGATGAGTGCCTTAGAAGCCAAGTGAAGAAATTATTCTCGGGATAGAGAGCGATCAGCTGTGCCAGCTTTTGCCACGAGGTCATGCATGCTGAGGATGGATAATGGACCATGGCCGGACACATGGAAGTCAGTGGGGACCTTGGCGAGCACCTTCAGTGCAATAGGAGAAGCAGAGGAGAGCAAAGGCTCTTATGAGAAAGCTCTTATGAGAAATTCATGTTTTTTGGTGATTGGCTTACGGAGCCATCAATTAATGACTACACCAAAAATCCAAACCCCCTGGCATCTAGTAGGTCCCAATGCAGAGCAGCCCTGTCAGGCCGAGCAGAACTGCTCCCGAGAGTTTCCGAGGCTGTACACGGTATGGGAGCAGAAAGCCTCATCTTCCTCCTAAGTTCCTGCTGAGGGGGTTCCAACTGCTGACTTGACAATTAGGAGCCCAGCGCCGAACCCACTGCACCACTGCAGCACCATCAGTCAGTTCCTTTAATCAGCCTCGCACGGGAAAAGCTCATCTGGAAGACTTCTAGAAATGTAGATTCTGGGGCTCTAACTCCCAAGTCTCTGGGGATGGGTTGCCTATCATTTTCATTTTGAGCAGACTTGCACAGGTGATGTAGAGGCCCATTACAAATTCATCATCAATGTCCTAGCCCATGCACACTGTCTTACAACTCTTAAAGCTATGGTTTGATTTAAGACATCATGTGCTTATTCCGTTGTGTATAACCCAAAAGGGGAATTTTTTCCTCTGGCGGAGACATTCCCAAATTTCCTATTAGCCCATTTTTTCCCTCGACAGATGTTTTAAAGAAAACCTGGGCCCAAATTCTCCAACCCCACGGAATGGCAGTAGGTAAACAAATCTCCCTTAAACGTTCTGAAGAACCACAAGAATTTTGGAATTCTCTGATTCTGCATATTAGCTTCCTGAGAACCCTGGAAACGGAAAGACAAAACTCATGCAGATTCAGGAGGAATTGAATATTTCTCTGGTTAGTGGAGTGTTGAGTTCACCGAGTCTTTGCACCTGGGAAGATGGAGGAAATGTTCTCGTTGGGCCGGCTTGGGGGGTGGGGGTGGTACCTTCTCTATGATCATCACAGTAAGGCTGCACTGCTCAGCACTATCTGAGAAAACTGTTGCTTTCTCCGCAGAGGCTGCTCCTACCTACGACCAGAGATGTTTCACAAAGTACAATGTGTGGGAAGAAGAGAGGTGAGAGCAACTTGAACTTAGAAAAGTCTCCCTGTGTACTGAAAAGGGTGTTCTGTGCTGATGAGCCCTCCTTTCTTTTCTGACACACTCCTTCCCAAAGCCATGGAAACTTGGGCCCCTATCCCTTCCCTCTCCAACCTCCACCCTTTCTTCCAAGAGACACTTTCACCCCCATTGACCCTTCCTTGTACCTCACACATGAAAGGCGGCACACATTTCACTGGGAGTTTTCTCTGCTTAGTCACTCTGGTTCTAGAAAGGGGGCGATGAGGGGATCTAATCCCATTAGTAAAGGCTCCATTCTTCCCTCTAATGAATGCTGCTACAGATTTTCTCCTTCATTTACTTGAGAAGCAAGAGGCCACTGACAACATTTTTCTTAGAGGTAGAACATGGCTTTATAGGAATAAACCCATAGCTACTTCTATGTGTATTTATGCTATCAGCTGTGGCCAAGACCATTTAAAACATGGAAAGGACAAACGAAAATCAGGAAAATGATGTCTTTGAGTCCAGCCAGCTGTGTATTGTGAATGTGAATATATGAATAGAAATTCTTCAAAATGATTGCTGTGGGTCAAAGCAGGAGTGTAAAGACAGAGGGCAGTGGTAGAATTCTTGATTCTCAGGGTGGGAGAGAACAGGGTTGATTCCCAGCTAATGCACCTCAGGTAGTGCCCCCACACGTGGCTCTCCTAGGAGGTTTGTGTGTTACTGTGATGCTGACCAGGTTTCAATGGAGCTTCCAGACAAAGATAGACTAGCGAGAACAGCTCGGAGGTCTACTGCTGAAAAGCAGTCAATGAAAACCCTGGGGATCACAATCGTCAGAGCCACCACCTACCATGGAAACAGCACAGGACTGGCGAGCATCTTGTCCTGCAATCCAGAGTCCCCACGAGACAGGGGCTGACTGCGTAGCCAGTAACAGCCATTATTTAGGGTCCCTGGATGGTGCACAAAGTCAACAGGTTTGGCCACTAAGAGGCGAGAGTCCAGCCAGAGGAGACTCAGAAGGAAAGCCAGCCATTGAAACATGGTCAAACACAGATATATGTTGACGCACATGGCATTGCCAGGAGTAAGAATTAACTCATCAGGCATGTGATCTATAGACAGACAAAAAGAAATACATAAATTGTTGTCGCTAGGTGTAATCACATCAACTATGACCCATAATGACCCTATGTACAACTGAATGAAAACACGGCACGGTCCAGTGCCCTCCTCGTAATTGTTCCTATGCTGAGCCCACTGATGTGGCTACTGTGTCCATCCATCTTGTTGAAGGCCTTCCTCTTGTTTGGTGCCCCTCCATGTTACCAAACATGATATCCTTCTCCAGGAACTGGTCTCTCCCAACAACATATCCAAAATATGTAATAAGACGTCTTGCCATCCTTGCCTCTAAGGGGTACCCTGGCCTTACTTCTTCCAAAAGAGATCAGTTTGTCCTTTTAGCAGTCCATGGGACTTTCAAGATTTTCCTCCAGCACACAATTGTTTATGCTTCTTCAGTCTTCCTTATTCAATGTACAACTTTCACATGCATATGAGGCAATAGAAAATAACATGGCTTGGGTCAAGCACATCTTAGTCCTCAAAGTAGCATCCCTGCTCTTCAATATTCATGTTCAGCAGATTTACCTAATTCAATATGTCTTTTGATCTCTTGATTGATGCTTCCACGAGCATTGATTATGGATCATGCAAAGCAAAATCCTTGACATCTTCAACTTTTCCTCCATTTATCATGATGGTAGCTATTGGTCCAGTTGTGAGGATTTGGGTGTTCGTCACACGCAGTCATAACCCATACTGAAGACTGCAATCCTTGATCTTCATCAGCAAGTGCTTTAAGTTCTCCTTCCTCACTTTTGGCAAGCAACACTGGTTCATCTGCACATCATAGGTTGTTAATAAGGCTTCCTCCAAGCCTGACGCCACATTCTTCTTCCCGTAAGTCAGCTTCTCTGATGATTTACTCAGCATACTGACTGAACAAGTATGGTGAGAGGATACAACCCTGATGCACACCTTTGTTGATTTTAAACCATGTAGTATTGCCTTGTTCTGTTCCCATGCTCATTGCCAATGGGTTCCTTGTTGTTCTTGTGCAAACATAGATAAATAGAATAGATAATTCCAGGAGAAACCCCGCAAGGCCAGTTCCTGGAGACACATGAGTAGTTGCCAACAAACTACCACTGTGTTCATGAAAAAAGTGGAGAGAGATGGTTGTTGGTGAGCTTATATATTACGTGTCTGTGAAGACAGATGGACAAACACTATCAAAAGTCTAAGACTGGAAGGTAAAAGATGATTGACACGACTTGTATTTGCCAAGGAGAAGAGCTTCTTCCAGGAGAAGAGAGCTGCTAGCTGAGTAGTACTTCGATCTTCTCTGCCCTCTACGAGCCCATGAGAACTAGCTGACCAGCATGCAGCAGTGACTGGTAACATCTGAAAAAGAGTCACATCTGAACAAGTGTTCATCGTTCATGAGTGTGAGCATACAGTTGCATGGGAATGCTGCACTATCTGTCATCCATTCTCTCTTCTTCCATCTGGGAGCCATTCCCTTCCTCAAGACATATATTTGGGAAAATCTTCCTGAAGGCCCATGATCTTTGACATTGATTTGATTAGCGTGGGGCGCCACAGCTGCTGATACAACTGGAAATTCGCCATATGAACAGCATGTTTACATACGTGTTGAATCAAGTGCCTCTTTAACACAAGATGCCAATCTGTGCCAAAATGATGTTATTTGGATGCTTAAAAATAAAAGACCAACAGAACCACTGGTTCCAGCCAGTGGAAATGCCTTGAGGTCTGGGATGATTTATGAGCCGGGTAATTTCTCAGTGTATTTTGATTGAATGGGGTCAGGTTAGTTTATTTTAATAATATGGGTGGTTTAAAAATGCACAAAAATTCTAACTTTTTCTCTGTTTGGGTGAGTAGATGTGTCAAATGTTTTTCCAAAAGTACTTCTTCCTCCTCCAGGATGCAGAACTGACACTAGCCAGACAGTAATTGTTGCATAATTAATGTGTAGCAGGGGGACCCAGCAATTTAGGCTCGGAATCCCTGCTCCTTAACTGCCTTGCCCTGTCATACTCCCACCACATCTCCCATCATCCTGAGAACCTCCCCGACACTTGTAAATAGCACAGTGGACACAATCTCATTTGCCTTTGAGGGCAGCTCTTAAATTACTACAAAGGAGAAAGACAGGCACTCAGCAGCTAAATATATGTATGTACATATGTGCAAACACACACATTTGCTTTCCGCCAACCTCCTTCTCAAAGCTCTGTATTACCTGTTCAGGTCCACAGCACCAGCCTTAGCATTTTGCTCCCCATCTAACACCTGCTTGCCAATTTCATTCCATTTTCAGCTACTCTTTAGCTAGTGAAGGCAGTCGTCTCAAATGATACAAAAGCACAATTCCTGTTCTGTTTGCCTCTGATCCTTTTACTCATGCTGATCACATGCCATATGCTTCCCCCTATACTGGTTTCCATCCTTTTGATAACGTCTCTAGTGTATCACCCGAGATCCAGTTTCCTTTGTTCACCGCAAACAATAGTGCAGAGTAGGGATGGGATGATATGGAATAATATCTGAAGCTGATCCTTCCTGCTGTCTGGATAGGTGTTCTTTCACTTGTGCTCCCTGAGGTGAGAGGGAGCCCCCACTTGAGCCCCTCAGGCACCAACCCTCCTTGGGGATCGCAGGTCTTTCTTTCCTATTCATTTACAGCCCCAACGGGATGGCATTCTTTTCTACCTCCTAACAGCTTTTGAATTTTTAACTCACAACTAACAGACTTGTTTCTGCTGTCTGTAATAAGCTTTATAACCTTGGGCAATTCATATAACTGCTCTAACCCTCAAGTTATTCAACTGTGAAGGAGAGAAAAGGATTCAATTGTAATGCTCCCCTCTGTGGTGGGACTGTAGTAGACTTGTCACCTTCCGTATAGGAGACTGTCTGGTTCCCAGCCAATGCACATCTCATGGTCAACCACCACCTGTCTGTCAGTGGAGGCTTGAGTGTTGCTGTGATGCTGAACAGGTTTCAGTGGAGATTGCCGATGAAAATAAACTAGGAAGAAAGGTCTGGCAATCTGTTTACCAGCTGAGCATGGGGTCCCTATGGGCCAGAATTAATGAACAACATGCTCACAGAGATGTAGCGTTTCTATTTTGTTATATATTTGTATTATATGTTTCCATCTCTATTATGCAGATTCTACTGTGCATTTTGTCTTTTGTCTCAGTCAAGGAACCCTGGTGCCATCGTGAGTTACAAGTTGGGCTAGCTTGAACCCATAGCCCTGCTCCTGGGGTGAGGTTGTCTGCTCCAGGGAAGAGGTACAACCTTGGAAACTCAAAGGGGCAGCTCTGCTCTGCCCTACAAGACCGCTGTGAGTTGGAATCAACTTGTTGGCGGTGAAACTATCATACCAGTGATGCTCGAAATTTTTAGTCTCAGCTCACCTTTATACTTAAACAAAAATTATTGAGGATCTCAAAGAGTTTTTGTTGTTTTGAGATATAGCTATAGATACTAACATGTTAGAAATTAAAATGCAGATTTAAACATAGTTACTTATTCATTAATAAAGGATTCTTGGGTTGTGATCTGCAAGGTAGGTGGTTCGAAACCATCAACAACTCCTTGGAGGGGCAGTGGAGGAGGGGGGAGGGATTGGGCTTTCTACTCCTGTAAACAGTTACAGTCTCAAAGATGGTAGTGAATTTTTTTTAATATTCATTCATAAGGTATGATAACATGTAAAATAGATGTCATTTTTTATTAAAAAACTACTTTGTTTTTCAAAACAAACATCTAGAAAGAAGTATTGTTTTATATTTAGCAAATCTTTAATAGTTTAATGGAAGACAGCTGTATTCTGATATTAGCTTCTGCATTCAATTTCACACACACACACACACACACATATATATATATTTATATATAAAATA